CCTGGGGTCAGAACGAACACAACAAACCAGAACCCACTCTCAAGCCCACCTACCAAGGGCAGTGCTATTAACAGAACTAAGTCTGTGTCTTTCGGGACCTTCATCATGCTTTCAAATTTTTCAGGACATGGTTTTCACAGAAATAAAACTAGATGCAACATTCCAGCCCTGGTCTTATTAATGGGATTTAAACCATGCTCCTACCTCTCTTCTCACCTCTACTAGGCAGCACCAGCTCTTCTTGACACTGTCCTGCACTTGAATCCCCTTTGGCTGCAGGAACTTCCTCACTAACCCCCAAGTCTTCCCTCAGTCACAGCTTTACAAGATAAAAATCTTCCATTCTGCACACACCTCCAGCGTTCCTTGCTCCTCCACACACCTAGATAAACTGCACTTTAACAGACTCCTGTTACCATGATCTCAGCCTTGCTTTAAACACCTTTTTTTTTATCAGTCCAGCAATCACTGAACCATCCCCTGTTTGTCACTATTGCTTTTATGTTTAACACAGACAATTGACCAAAACTGCAAAGCACATCACACTTGACACAAACACTGGGGAAAGTCCTCAACACTCTCAACCTTCGACAGTGGCCTTCCACCCATTATTTCTGAGTGCTGGCAGCTCACCAGCTCTTTATCCATTTTATTTTACTGTACAGTCCTAATTTTAAAATTAATTTTAGTTGAGTAACAGTAAATCAAGGACCTAATCAAATTTAAATGTTAGTTATATAAATAATGTACTTTCAGTTTGACAGTCAACACACAAAAACAAAACAAAACACTGCTTCAGGTTAACTATTTCCTTTTGGCAAGAGCATAAGTAATACAAAACTGGTCTAGCAGTAACTGATGCAATCTTAATTGGAGGCAACATAATCAGCTCCACACACAATGAGAGCAACACTAAAACCGGAACAATTTCTATGGCATACATATTATATGAAAGAAAGATCTGTTGTTTTTAATATAAGATTTTAGGCATGATCACTTTTAAGAGCAGATAGAACCATGGGGTGTTTACTAAGTAGAGACTGGTATGGTAAAACCAAGTATGGAAATGTCCTCCACACTGACTTGGTACAGTAACAAATTGAAAATACAGGTAATTTAAAATAGAAAGTTTTAAACATGTTCAACTTAAAAATACAGGGGGGTCTCATAAACAAACTTTGAGTGTCTGAGAGGCTGTAAGATGTTGCTGACCCAGGTGCTTAATCATCTTTCTGCTGAAGTGAGTAACTTGCAAGAAAGGACAAGAAGGTGTAAGATCTGCCCCCAGGACCTGGGATCCCATTCCCAGCCTCTGCATCAGCACAAGTCACCCAAAAGAAATGTGAGTTCAGGCAAGGGAAGCGAACTGAGGCACAGACATTGCTGGCACTTCCTTACAGACTGCGGTCTGAGGAGTGGGGATAAGAGACCAGCTGGCAGCATCTTAAACCACAGCATCTAAGGCTTCCAGAGCACATCTGTCAGAGCCATTTGTGAATAAATTTCAGTGTAAGAGTTTGTAGAATTGAGAACTTCACATGTAAAGATTACAATGAAAACACAACAGATAAAAGCACAAAAAGATACAAAGGCTGATTGATAACATAAATGTGAGAAGGAATTATCATGGGTAGACTTAACCTTTTCTTCATTTACACCACACAAGACAGCCGGAGAGAAAACAATTGAAACTTTGAAATCTACTACATTTCCAACCCAATCTGTTTTCCCAGTATAAAAACCAGTTCATGACATAAAAGGTTATTATTTTGTTCCATTATTTATTTGATTTCAACAGAAATACATGAGGATAAATTTGGTTTCTGGCTAGAGGCAACCAACTACAGATGACACAAATGCCACCTTTTATTTTGTTGTCTTACCTAAGACTAGAAATAAAATTAATAGCTGACAATAAACTTGTGTACAAAATGTGTGCTTCAGCTTACCCTCTGGATTTTAACTTCCCAATACCATTCTCAATGTTAAATTATTATTCTCAATATTAGTGCTAACCTCTGCTCTTTTCCTCTCTCACACTTGTCCTTTCTGCTGTAAAGGACTTCTCCCACCATAAGTTTCTGCTGTCAGAACAGTCTTTCCCCATTTATTCACTTCTCCGGGTCAACATCCATTCCTGGATTTCTATTGCACCCTTCCCTTCCTTTCCCATTTCCCATCCTTCTTTACAACTGCTATTGGGTTTACATTGGCTAATTCACCACAGTGTTTCTTCCCAATTCTGCCTTGTTTTTGATGGTAAAACATACTGAGTGAAAGATGATGACAAGAACAATCACAACACATGAATAAACAATATTTTGTTGACGTATGAATTATCATATTTCAAACTGCAAAAAGTCCTGGGACACAATAAACTGTATTGTGTAAAGCTCCATTGTATCACTGCAGTGTGTAGTTAGAGAGGCAGAATAAAACTTAAAAATCACTAATGCTGATTTTTAGCCCTGTGGCTAAAAAAAATGCAAAAGAAATGAGAAACAAGGGAATTAGCACTGTCCATGTCAAGAATGCCTGAAGTGTTTACTCAACCTACTCAACTACAGGAGCATCTTTGCACAGCTAGTGATACAAAAGCACCTGGGATGCCTTGACATTTTCCCATGACCTTCAAACATAACTCTAACAAATAAAAATGTATCAGGAATCATAGGCTGTTGCAGATAATTTTGGGATATTAAAGCTGTATTAATTCAACACCTATTTGGAAACATAAGCAAGAACTTTTTCTTCTTCTGTTGCTGTACCAGTGACCATCTATGTTTGTCATTATGTGAAACAGAGTTCCTTCCTCAACGGCAAACACCACAGTTTTTACGGAAATACCCTTTCTTTTTATCTTCTTCTCAAAACGGAAAAAATTCTTACTGCTTATTCTGTGTGTCAAAAAATACGTCAAGAATAAAACTGGTTATTAAAGAGCTATAAGATACATAAGATATGTTGTACATAATACTGCAATAATATATGGAATCATCAGCTTCATAACTAAAAACAGTTTCACTGTGTCTGTGATTGATAAACTATGTAAGTATTAAAACATTAAAAATGTTAATCTTTGTAATAATGTCCTGAAAAGTTTTTATATTAATTTGAACCATGGATCATTTTAATATTTAATCATTGCAGACTTCATCTGAAATGAGAATAGCTATTACTGAAATACACTTCATTTTTTATTTAAAAAAAATGACAGTTAGTATTTATTCCATAAATCTCTTCACATTTTTTCCTCAATCAAAAGTAAACCTGCAAGCAAATGAAAAAATCCACAAGAGCAGAAAAATTTAAAGCAGCATTTGTGTCAGAAAACATTGACATTCATAGTCTTGTTTCTCAGGTGTAACTGCATTACAACAGTAGTATTGTATGAGTCAGAGGATTGAGGGAGACTTCTACTGCAAATGGAAATCATTGGCTTCTTTGTTTATACCTTACATCCATCTATGTTGCAATCTCTCTATGTATCTCATAATGTGTAAACACAACAATTCACTTATTCTTCCTAAGTACTTAACATGGTGGCTCAGTTCTTCAAGATGATATTCAACTGGTTTAGGGTTTTTTAACAAGTAACCTAATTTTGTAACATTAGAACACTTTAGCAACATATAAAGACTTTCCAAAGTATCCTATCCTCATCTATAATTCACAGCTTGTCTTGCCTAATGAAAAATTTAGATTAATATGGAAATATTGCAAAGGAAAAAACCCACAAAGCAACTTCCTAGTTATGAGAAGAATCTCACAGAAACTCTAAAAATCTAACTGCAATTAACTATAACTAATCTTGATGGTATTGATTCATTTTTAAAGACATTTAAAATTATCTAGCCAATATTAATTCATGGTCTCAAGAAACAAATTTCACAGAAAAATCCAAGGAAAATACCTGCACTGCACAGCAAAAAATATAAAAGCCTTGTCTTGTTTTCTGTGTAGACTAGAGGTTTCCCAGAGCTGCTGCAATAGAGTACAGTGAGCTTAAGCTGCCCTTTAGACTGGGCTGTGGGATTTGGCCGAAATATTTGAATTAAGTAAATCCTAAAGATACTCTGGGCAGTACCACAGGTTGACAGACTAGCTTACATGACTAATCTCCGTTCTGTACTTGTGACCAACAGGGAGGATTTTCCAGTACCTGCTACAAAACTAGCACACAAACTGACTTCCATCTCTGAAAAGGCCGCAGAGTGTAACAGCGAGAGCTATGAAGTCACAGGACGGGCAGAAGTCAGTGTGGAACCTTCGAATGCATATAAGCTTATTCTGTGTCATTAAAGTTTATGAAAAGAAAGACCAAACAACCAAAAAAGCCCCAGTAATAAAATCACTGCCTTTACTCCTGGTTTTATGAAGAAAGTATGTATCCCCTTGCATATTACCTTTTGCTAAAGTATGTTCTTAAGGAAAGATGTATGGAAAAATCATGGTCATTCAATGTAATGCAGTAATTAAACTCTGGAATTCAGCTGCTCCTCTGAAATAGTCCTGTTTTTATGTGACTTAACAGAAAGACATATACGTCTTTGTATGTAATTTGATACAAGATTTAAAGCTAATTATATGGGGAGTTTTACCAATGTTAACAGGAATCTCTGCTTTAGTCATTTGATTTGAAGCAATCTTTCCAAACCTAGATATCTGAAGAGCTCCCACATCTGCGTTGAAACAGTAACTGAGTATTTTCTGTATTGTTTTTGCAGATACAAAATGCTAACTTAAGCAGACTAAGAAGTCAATTGTAGAACCTTGTTGTAATCTCTACTTGGCTACATTAATAAATCAAATTCACAGAATTACAGGATTGTTGATATTGAAAAGAACCTCTTGAGGCAATCTATTTGTGCTCATCTATCCCTGCTCAAACAGGTTTAGCTAGAAGACTATACATAAATTATAGAATTACAAATTAGAAAATAAATTACAAAAGGGATTTACATACTGAGGGAAAAATAACAAAAAAGTGAGCAACTCACCTTTTTTTTAAAAAACTGTCAACTGTTTGTATTAATTTATTTCAAAGTCAACACTTTGTTTCCTCTATGCTCACAGAACTGACCTGAAGTAGACTTAGAACTTCACTGCTTCCATGAAGACAGAAAAGAAGTCCCACAAGGTAAATAGTACTAATTCATGATCAAAGATGATCATTCCAACAAAAAAACCTGCCAAATTTTTCCTTATGTGAACAGACAAACTATTTTCTGAACAACGAAGTTTGTCCCTAGCCTGTTTTGTGATTCAACAGGAAGTGATTCAGCCAAGGATGACATGCCAAACAGCAATACTTAAAAAATGGTTCAATTTTCCCCGTATTTGTAGAATTTTGAGTATCCCTTAAAAATCACTTTATACAGTTTTCCACTATAGAAGTCACATATCAGTAGCAAAGGTTGGATGAAAGTCAATATATCTTTAGTAACAGGTACTCTTTCATTCTGATTAGCTATTTAGGAATGAGCCTGGTCCCCAACAGGGTAGAACTCAAAACCTGCAAGAAATGTAATTGAATTACTGAGTGTGAACATGTGTGCTGTATATACAGCCCAGTTACACCATAAGGTCTTTCAAAGGGGCTTTCTGGTACTGCTGTGCTCTGTCCTTGTAACTGTGCAGGCTGATGGAAGGTGGAGCAGCTTGCGAGTCACACAAACACGGTGGCAGAATCCCCTGCCAACACCTCACATTCAGAAGTTTTGCAGCTCACATATTCTCACATAATTCCGTCCAGGATTTTCTGAGCGCAACCATGACCGGCGCACTCTGCAGAAAATACAAAGGAGCCCAATGTACCCGGAACGCTTCACGCCTGGAAGGTAAACACAGCCAGCTCAGCAACTCCGGGTTGTATCAGATTTACTGCACACCCACAGCCGGCCAAACACACCCAGCACCGCCACACACCGCACGTGCTGCGGCTCCGGCACGTCCCGGCCGCACTGAGCGCGTGGGGTCAGCACACACTGAGCGGCGGACTGTCGAGCTCCAGCCACCGCGACACCCCAGGCAGGCGGGGTTTCACACCAACCACACCCCACTGGTCGTCAGCACGGGCGGAGTCGCGCTCTCGAGGGAAAACCGCGAGCTACTCTCCCACGGAAGCATCGCGGGCTTCAGCCAGCTCGGCCAGAGTGGCGGGCCCGGGCCAGGCCTGCAACAAGGCCCCGCTGAGACCCTGACGGGGGGTTTGTTTCCCTCCAGGTAGCCTGGTGAGGGACCAGCGCGGCACCACTCGCTGGTACGGGGAAAGCAGCCCAGGCAGCCAAAGAGGCTCCCTGCGGGTGAGGCAGCACCCCCAGCCCCAGGACAGCACAGCGCGGCAGCTTTTCCTGGCCCTGGCCCCGGCCCCTCAGCCCGCGCTCCGGGGGCGGGGCCGCCCCGATTGGCAGCGCGCTCCGGCCAATCGCGGCGCGGAGCGCTTCCCGCGGGCCAATGGCCGCGCAGCCCCGCGGCGGTCAGCGTGCTGGCCGCGCTGGCGGGCGCTCCGTGCGCGGGGCCAATGGCGGCGCCCCCGCGGCGCGGGAGGGGCGGGCGCCGTGACAGCCCCGCGGGCCCGGCGACTGGGGCCCCTCGCCCTGCCCTGGACGCGGCGCGGTACCTCGGGCCGAGCGGCACAGCTCCGCCTCCTGCCTCCTCCCTCCTCTCTCGGCGGAGCGACTTCCTGTGCTAGCGGGGCTCCCGCCGCGTCCTGCCCCAGCGTCCCCGCCTCCCGCTCCCGCCCGCCCTGCCCGGCCCTGGACCCGGCCCCGGCTCCGGCTCCGTGGCACGTGCGGCGACGGGAAGGTTCCCGCCTGCCTGCGGCCCTCGGTTGTCTCTTTGGATTTTGTGGGGAGAGTGTTTTGGGGGAGGGTGAAAGCTCAGCCGTGGAGTGTTTCAGCATACCCCGTTCACGCCCTCTGCTCGCCTTTTACTGCTATTTCCTACTTGTGTCCGAATTGTTGCTCCAGACAGGTAGAGTGAAAAGCAATTAAACACCTTAACATCACAGAATGGTTTGGATTGAAAGGGACCGTAAAGATAATCTAGTTTCATCCCGCGATGGTCACCATCACAAGCCCACTTAATTGGGAACTTAAGGTCATAAAAACATAACACATGGCAAATTATGAACCCTGTCAGATAATTTTTTTGCCACCTTGAGATGATGCTAGGTCCTCTGCAACAGATAATTGCTTTACTTCGGTGCAAGAAGCAAGCCACTGACTCTTGGAACAGCTTACTGATTAGTATTGCTAGTGCATGCCTTGGTTCCTGCAAAATGGCACTTGATAACCAAGTGTAACACTCCCCTGTAAGGAAAGATACACGAAAAAGAAATATTTGCATTTGTTTACCTCTGCAAGTTCGGAAGTGAAAACCGTACCCAGCTGAACTTTCCCATCTTTCTAGGTGACACGCATACAGAGTGGAGAGCGAGCCTACAGAAAAGTTGATGACTCAGTTTGTATCTGACACGCATACCAAACCACAGTCATTTCTGTAGCAAGCTTAATAAATAGCTCAAATGATACAGCTTTCCTAGAAAGATAGACTGTCCTGATTTTGAGTGATGAGACACAAAATTGTTCTTGTACATATTTTTTTGCCGAGAAATTTCACACTAAGGGTGTTTAGCTGCTTTGAACATGGTGGCTCACTGAACACAACCTTACATTTTCTTCCCAAGCAATCTTGTCCCCCTCTGGGACTGGTGTTGTCACATCCACTGTGAGCACCTCCTCTGATTTTTCTAACTTCTGTATTCAGAATTCTGAACAATAATTTATTTCATTCATACTCCTAATAGTAAGCCAGGAATCATATACATATAAAATATTTTAATAGTTTATTTTGATTTCTTGATTGTTTTATTATGATTCAATTAAACTCAAGTCATGATTATGCTCATGGATATTCGAATATAGCATTATGTTCAAAACGGCAATCACATTCAAATAGCTGGAATACATGAATTTTGACTGCGTAATCACAACCAAAGTAAATAAATATGAAGAAATATCAGAATCCGTGTTTTCAGTTACATGATTTTGCTTTATCTAAACCACTGCTGAGGTGTTTGTCTGTGTGAGTTCTAGTAGCAAAGTACATCTGGTTCTAGTTCAGTTTCACCTAATTTTGCAGAATCACAGAATATGCCAAGTTGGAAGGGACCCACAAGCATCATCAAGTCCAACTCCTGGCCCTGCACAGGACCATCCCCAAGAGTCACACCATGTTCCCGAGAGTATTGTCCAAACGCTTCTTGAACTCTGTCAGGCTTGGTGCTGTGACCACTTCCCTGGGGAGCCTGTTCCAGTGCCCAACCACCCTCTGCGGAAAGAAACTTTTTCTAACATCCAACTTAAAGTTCCCCTGACACAACTTTAGGCCATTCCCTTGCATCCTGTCACTGGTCACCACGGAAAAGAGATCAGTGCCTGCCCTTCCTCTTCCCCTCCTGAGGAAGTTGTAGACTGCGACAAGGTCTCCTCTCAGTCTCCTCTTCTCCAGGCTGAACAGACCAGCTGACCTCAGCCACTCCTCATATGGTTTCCCCTCAAAGCCCTTTCATTACCATTTTCATTACCCTCCTTTGAACACTCTCTAATAGCTTAATATCTTTCCTATATTGTGGTAACCAAAACTGGACACAATTTCACCTAGTCACAATATTCATTTCACCTAATCACACTATTAATTTCACCATCAAGTTATTCTTCTAAGTAATAAACTTATGTATGCCCAGCAGCCTCGAAACTGAATCCATAAAGAAGTCAAGGAATTACAGTTTCATGAAAAGGATTCCTGAGAAGTTTTCTCATTTTTAGTTTCACTGTTTCATTTCTTCATTCTTAATCTTCATTTTATGGGAAAAATGTTTCCCATTGCAAGGTTTCTTCTGCAGAGAAGGCATTCCCACTGTTCAGAATGGCAGTTTACATTTAGATGAAGTACTACAAACAGACTTGCTTCTTTTTGTGGGATAAGAAGCAGCCTGGGTGAAGTATACGTCCCTTGAAATATTTTTAATCTCTCTAACAGGTATAAATACAGGATGGATACCATTACTATTATGTAACTATAACTGAAGTGTATGTCAATCAGAGAGTAATTTTTATTGATCTTGCTACACTCATCAATTTGTGTCATATCCCTTGAGCAGATGAATTTAAAACTCCAAAAGTATTTTTAACTTAAATGGTTTTATCTCACAAAATTTTGAAGAAAATGTATCAGGTATTGTTTTCAGTGACTCTTTCCCTGGTTTTCCCCCTATTTTTCATTCCTTCACAAGATCTTCAGCTTACTCTGACAATTTGACAAGAATCTGTCCCTTTTTGTTCTTGTATGCAGTGGTTTCCAAGTTTATGATTTGTGATTTTTTAATAGAAGTTCAGTTAAGCCCACTGAAAGTAGGCTTCTTTATTTATCTTTTGCAAAGGTCTGAGAAGCAGTTCTTGAGCTTTTAGAGTTTAGTTAGTTTTAGACAAAAGGTTGGAAAATGATGCTCAACATCTTTGTTCCAAGTTGACAACACAGATACAGAAAACTATCTCCCCAAAATGCAACGACTTGTCTACTGTCTAACCTGATGTCTCCTTATGTACGTCTAACTACCAGGTTAAGCCCAAAGATGTGAAAGAATGTTCTTAATTATTTTTGTTCTATTAATTTTGCCATCACTGAGTAAGAGTTTTGCCCCTTCTCTCATCCAGAACTGTAGCCTGGATGTTGCCAATAAAACAGCTATTTAATTAGGACTGCTGTTCAGGCTATCATTAAATCTTTCAGGGAATACCTTACTCCAGAACTTCTAAAAGGTACAATATTCCCCATCTAACAACAAAGCTAAAACTCTCTTTATGCTCCTGTCACTTCCTAACAATGTAATTTCTGGTGGCTTTGACAGATACAGTCTTGCTCTTCTCATATCCAACCAGAATTGTTGCTGAAAGAAATAATCGCCTTAGCTCATCCCTTTATCCATGTAATTCCTCACTTTGCATCTATCCAGTGTTTCCCATCTCTCTGCCCGCTCTGTGTACACTTCACCTTCATTTTGAAATCCATTAGTGCTATCTCTTCTTGTTTTCACTTAGTTTTTATATATGAGCTTTTCATCTCTGACTAATGTAGAATTCTGGTTTTCATTGCACTTTTTTTTTTTTTTTTAAAATCCTGTTTTGCTTTCCCCCTGTGACACTGTTACTCTCAAATCCATCCAAAAGAGACCTACAGTGGGATAGCTACTGTAACTTCATGCTGCGAGTGTGCTGAGCCGACTCCTGTCATGCTTCTCCCGTATTTACTATTTCTACCTGTTAGTTCATGTCTTGTCTTACATTTCAGTTGCAATTTCTTCAGCACAAGTACCTTCCTCTCACTCTATGTCAGGTTAGTGGTTGGCACCACTGTCTCTCAAATCAAACATTTCTAAAACCTCAAAATTTCTTAACCCCCAGATAACTGTCCTGTGCTTCCCACAGAGATAGAAGGAATGTGGAGCCCATCCTCTTTCCTTCCAGCCTTCCAGATGAAAGTTTCAACGTGGTGTCAGTCATGATAGATGGTGTATTTTGTGACACAGACAGCCTGCCATTAGGACAAACTCATTTCACTGAACCATCTGATGGTAATGACTTTCAGTGACAGACTGACCTAGGCTGGCTCAAGTCAGTGTGCTGGAGGTGAAAGGCTCCATATTCCATTACCAGGACTCTGAGCCATCAAGTCTGCTCCATCCCACCCCTACTTAATCTGTATTGATAGACTTGGTAGCATTTTCCTAACTGCTCTCATCCATACAGATGTCTGCTGTCATTTTGTTGGTATGGTCAATCAATACTACATTAAATGTTACCTTCAGTTTACCCTTAATTGTCTGAAGTAGATGTGATATTTTCATTATTTATGTAACTATGCCCTAAAATTATGCATTCCAGATTAAAAGAATAAAATACTTGTTTACTTTATTATTATTATTGCTCTGACATCAACTTTTGGATTTCTGTGTAAAGAAATTAATCTCCTATCAGAGGGTAAATGGGGACTGACAAGCACTAGCTCCTGTTGCCTCTGAGACATAATTATGCTTGCAAATACAAAACCAGAAAAATCATAAGCTTAACACAGTAGACACTCTTGAAAGTTTCATCTCAGCATGAAACTATGTTTTAATTATTATTTTTGTCTGCATTGTTCAGATTGACAGTGCACCAACTACAATAAGTGCTTATCCTAGTTAATTCTTCATGAGACTTATGTCACTGGAAGATGCATTTAATTTATTTCCTTTTGCTTTCCTTAAGCCAGCACTGACTAA